AGTAAATAAAATGTTTCACTTAATTTTCTTTTCCACAATTTCTCTTATTGTCTTGAGTTGTACAATAATATCGCTCGTTTTCCGCAAATGTAGGTTTTCTGCAATTGTTTGTTTGGGTATGTAGGGTTGCTATGTTAAAACATTTGCGTTGGCACGTTTTTAAATGTGGAACGGAAATTGTATTTTTCAAAGGTTTGTAGCGGAATATAAATATTTCTGCATCTGCATTGATACCTCATAGTATTAGTTTCTATTTTTAAATATGAAGCATAATTTATACGAGTTTTCTCGTATTATATAAAAACTACGACTCGTATGTCATTAAGATTAAAAAACAACCGTAATTTGTCAAATAACTTTGTTTCTTATAATTCATATGAATGTTATTCATAATTTGTAAAGCATTACACGCTACAGAACGCATTATCAAATACGGTCTTATTTTTAGTCTAGGCAGAGATAACTATATAATATACACTAACAGACTCGGCCAAGCGTTGCTGTGGGTAAGGTTTCAGTTATATTACATAGTAATAAACTATTCAAGGGAAACGGTAGGAGAAAACCAGTCATGGGGACCACCATGCTATTTTGGTGGTTATGCCATTAAATTGTAGCTTATGTGAAACGTTGGTACTTTCAACACAGCGCCATCTGCTAGAATTGTGACTGTCAAATAATAAATAAAATAATTTGCAATAAAATAATATTGCGGGTATAATTTAAGATGTAAGCTTCCTATCTTTTAAGTTAGATCAAACTGCACACGGTGTGCAAATTTGAATGACATCGGTTTGGTAGTTTAGGGAGTCCATAGCGGACAAACAACGTGACACGTAATTTATATATATATATATTACGATATAAAGATTATTGGAGGTCGGTATGTAGTCAACCCTAAAAGTGGTTTATAAATTTGTAGTTTTGATGTGTTGCACATAAAGTATGAAGTATGTTAAGTGTAATAGTTTTGCGGTAGCTAGTGTATTTGTACGGGTTTCAAGATCGATAACGTTTTTGTACTGTTAAGTGTCATAGCTACGTATTCGTACTTTTGTACGGAGTATTCAAAATATGTAATAATGTCAAATTTTACACGCTTTTCGTACTGACAAATCTTGCGAAAACTTGACGCAAACGTATAACAATTTATAATTCATAATTGGCATTTGACACAAAACTTCACTGCGTATTATTGAACGTGACACGCCCTACCGGACTGCCTTCTCTCGATACAAGATTTAGCGTTGAATAAACACAATAAATAATGACTAACGTGCTAGATTTTCTTAGAGATTATCTATCACTGCACACAGTCTGCTTCTATGAGATTCAAATGTATTAATTTATTATACGCGCATATTTTGCTTGAAATATCTTTAACCCACAGTTACTTGTAAGCGTTACCTATTGAAAACAAAACATAGTAACATATTCTGTGTAGCCTTTGTTCAGCTCATTGACAATCATGCGACATCAAGGAACTAGTTGTCATGAGGCCTATGAGTATGAGTTTCATGGCTCTATATACTTAGCCTAGAGTTCAAGTTATAAGTTCTTAACTAACAAATAAAAATTAAGGATTGTATGTATTTTTGTATGCTGTATCATAAAAAATAAAAACATTTTTTTTTGTCTCAAATATAAAAAAGTTTTTTTGGGGTGGACACCCCTTATCAGTTAGGAGTTTGAAAGATAGTATCCGATTCTCAGACTTACTGAATATGCATAAAAAAATTCATAAGAATCCGTCGAGCCGTTTCGGAGGAGTATGGGAACGAATATTGTGCCACGAGAATTTTATATATTAGAAGATATATTATATATATTATATATATTATAGATTTTTGTTTTTATTGTTTAGCGTAATTGTCATATATTTTAGAAAAGATAGCTTGTAACATATACTGTAGATATAGCATTATGTATGATGTGGTGAACTCTTATAAATACACAGTCTACCTAAATTTTACACAAATCTGGCGCCCGTAGGCTATAAACCTTTGACGAATGGAGGCACCAACGATGTGATAGGAAAAGTTTGACGTAAAATGTGGCGTGTCGTATTATCTTCGGAAAGCACTTGATGCTTTTGACATGAATCTAGAAATTGTGGGAGGTTTTTGATGTACGCAATAATTTTATAGGATTACGACGCGAAGTCGTTTATTAGCAATCAACTTTTATATTAAGTAACTAATCGGGTATTAAATTTAGTCGATGAATTATACCGTTTTTAGAGATTCATATATATATATATATATTTGTAACTTTACATTAGGGATAATGTATTAACTATATGCATGATATACTTATTTTTAGGTTTCTAAGTTTTGTATGTAGCCAGTTAAATTGGTTTATAAAAATCTTTGAAGAGCAAAAACGCTTCAATAAAAGTCATAAGTCACACAAGACCCCGACTCGCTCGACAAGTTAAAGTCCTTTCAGGCTTTAGTATAAGACAGGAGAATGCTTGCCGAAGACAGAAGCCAATAGAGGAAGTTGTGCAACACCAACACGATCTTCAGAACCTGACTAAAGAAAGAAAAGACACAAGTACATCGTAGTCAAGCATAGCATTTTGTATTTCATCTAACTAATCGTAGATTCAAATTAACCTTTGTGATTTCTAGATATGTTTTAAGATTACATTAGCAGTATTGGCCTAGTGGCTTCAGGGGGCTACTCTCATCCCTGAGGTCGTAGGTTCGATCCCCGGCTATGTGCGCATTTCTTATTCGCTCAAACGGTGAACACACCGTGAGGAAACCGGCATGCCTTAGCCCCGAAAGTCGACAGCGTGTGTCACGCACAGGAGGCTGATCACCTACTTGCCTATTAGATTGACAAATGATCATGAAATAGATACAGAAATCTGAGGTCCAGACCTAAAAAGGTTGTAGCGCCACTGATTTTAAGATTACATTACCATTTTAAATGTCAATATAGCGTCTATGAAAATAAGTAAATAAAATGTACTAAGTACCAACACAAACGGCTATCAGCGTGTTTGTAAACGCTTGTTAATGCTATGTGGGTGGTATATTCATATACGCGAATATGAGCCTTAAGTTTAGTACGTAAGTTATAAAATTCTTTAAATATAATAGATTAGATAGAAGATTTACGATTGTATAGAGTTAGCAATACTTAATGTGCAATCAGCCGATGTGGTTTTTACATTGTCCCTTTTTATCGTCTGTGAGTTATCTTTAGATATCTGTGACTACTTTGATTCATTTGATAAACTTTGTTATAATTCGGTTAGGTATAGGTTGATGAACTTAGAAATAATTAAGTTGTGTTTTTAGCGTAACGAAAGAGATGCTGAAAGTTAGCATTTTATTCAACTGAAATCAATTTTTATTAAAGACTAGCCGACTCGACAAACGTTGTTTTGCCATGTATATAGGGGTTGATCGTAGAGGGGTGAAAATTAAGGGTTGTATGTATTTTTGTATGTTGTGTGATTAAAAAATAAAAACAAAAAAAAAATGTCTAAAAAAATAATTATACCTATCTTTCAAACCCCTAAGCGATAAGGGGTAGCCGATTCTCAGACTTACTGAATATGCATAAAAAATTTCATAAGAATCGGTCGAGCCGTTTCGGTGGAGTAAGGGAACGAACATTGTGACACGACAATTTTATATACCTATTAGATAACGAAATACGCTTATAATAACGAATTATATAGGATGCAGTACATTCTTTGGCTGCACAACATCTTCATTGTATATATTTTACTAACATTGCGTCTGGCGCTTTTACCAAAGCTAGTTTGATAAAAAAACAAAATATTCATAAAATGTGTACTGGGGTTCGCGTAAATTGTTTAGCTGTGGTTTATCGATTTACGTTAAAATAACCGGTAATTTTCTAAAGCACGAATCGGTGTAAATCACATATTCCTCGAGAATGTTGAAATAACGAGCAAAAAGATCAACTGAGAGAGGATTTAACACTGTTCGGTGTTCCGCTTTACTAACTTACTGAAGCTCGAGTTTTAGGAAGTTAAAATACTTTGTATTTTGTAAATAATTCGGTTCTTTTACTTTACTTTTTATGTATCAATAATATATTTTTATAAGTCTTTTCATATTTAAAAAACATTTTGTGGAAAATGGTCTCATTGTTTTGTAACTGTGCCTTTACATAATTTTTTATACCGCATTGTGATATTCAATTTACTCTAAAATAATTATTTATTGCTAGTAGTCGCACTCATTTGAAAAAAGAACAGTTTTGTGCAAATATATGCCACAGCCCTACAATAACAATCATTTTATGACTGCTCATTATTCCTTCTAAACGTTAAATAAAATCTAATAACTCACTTTCTCCGGCGTTCCATATTCGTCAAATTTAAGACAAAATTTTCTTTGGGTTTTTAATTAGGTATTATATATTTAACGCTTTCTTTAAACAATAACAACTTCCTGTAGCACTCTAAGAACAAAACAATTAATAAAGTACAAACTACTTGCCAAGCCCAACCAGTATAAGGTGACCCTCATAATCTGCTTTCAGCTGCCGTATTATTAGATTAACTTGACAAAAGGCAGACTCGTTGCTTAATTATTGCGCAAACAAATCATCCTTCTTCATTATAGTCTCTTTAGAGCGTACTTTAATTCTTAAGAATTTTATTTTTAGTTTGAATGTGCTGACTGAACCACTTCTAAAGACTGTGATATTTGGACGAACTATCAGCTGTATACAACGTAAAAAATTTCAATGGAACGAATAAAAAAATTATTTGTCACAAACCAATTTTACTATTAACAATTTTTACATGAATCTTTCTAACACAAAGCCAAAGCAACTTAAACATACAACATATTGATCAGGGGTTATTTTTATTATTAATTTTATGTTCTGTATACCGTATTTAAATTCTTATTTTTGGAATAATATGAATATAAAAAAATGCGTTTCCTTTTGTTGCAGGAAGTAAAATCTGCTGTCAATGTCGGAAGTTCACATGATTGCTGAGGACAATGCGGTCGCAAGCCTCGAAAGTTGTTGCAAAGAAGGGAGCATCTAATAAAACATCTGTCAAATCGAAAAATGTCAAAAAGCGAACTAAAAAGAAAGTGGCCTCGCCAAAAAAGGTTAAAGCGCTTCAAAAATCGTTAAAAAATCCCAAAAATAATAAAAATGACGACACTGATAAAAAGGAAGAAGGAAATAAATCTCATCAAGACAATCCCTCAACTTCAAACGAAAGTACTAAAACTGTTACGAAACCAAACACAGTTAGAAATGAAACCTCACTTAAGAAAAACAAGAAGGAGTCAAAAGAGACGAAAAATATAAACACAACTAAGACCCTCATCAAAAACCCACCTTCAAAGAAACCCTCTAATGCCGCAAAGAAAGTTATAACCCTTCCAAAGGGAAAACAGACTCTTAAAGATGTTCTTGATAGCGAATCTACAAGTAACGCGGATGTCATCAAAAAAGTCTCCAAAATTCCAAAAGCAAAAGCTAAAAAAGGAAATACCAAATCTGAGGTTTATGTAGGTAAAGGCAAATCTAGTTCCGAGACTGTATCAGTTCCAAAAGAAGAGTACAGCGATGAAACCGTATCAACAGAGTCAGAAAAATATAATGATAAGAAATTAGAGAATATATCAGAAAATCAGGCTGCTCAATTTGAACAAGAATCTGACACTCAAGAAGGTAATTCGAGTAAAAATGAAGCCGTTAGTCGAAAATCTACTACAGTTATGCTTTCTCCGAAGATACCAAAATCAGAGATGGACAGGCCGCCTAAATTTTTTACATCTGCTAGATCTCCTAGAACAGTAGATATTGATGTGAAGTGTTCTAAAAATTCTAAAGGAAATTTTACGGCATCTGAACGATTTTTGCCCTTAAAATGTGAAACCAAAACTGAAGACATCAAAGAAAGAACTTCTTCTAGCTCACTCGTAGCTCAAGGCCCAGAAATAGATGTGTATACTTTCACAGAGAAAGTTGATTCACCAAAAAGTATTTTGTCTGATTTTAGAAATTCTGTAAATAAGACTGTTGGACGTGTTCGACCAATAGCTCGAGTAAAAGGGACAGTAATTGATAAAAAGGGAGAGTCAGAAAGAAAAAAATATTCCCCTCACAGACCCATTGAAGAAGTTGTAAAACAATTAAAAGCCAGCAAGAAGACTGAAGACACTAGCCAGCCTATACAAGAAAAATCTAGCACTTGTGAGCTCAATAATCCAACTAATATAATTGATGAACCTAAACCTATTGTCAGTAAATCCTACAAAATGGTTGCAAGAAAATCTAGCGTCACTGGAAAACCTTTTAGCCCAACCAAATTTCTGGAGTCTTCAACTATTAAAACTGAGAATGATTCTGCGCCCAAGAAAACACAGAAAGGTAAAAAACAGCAGAAGAACCATACATTATCAGATGAAGAAATTGATTCATCAAAGTTTGCGTTTAGCACTAAAACTAAACATTACAGCTCATCAGAAGAGAGTGTAAGTGAATCAAACGATGATCAAGATTTTAAGAGTTCTTCCGAATCAAGTAGTACTAAGAACAAAAAGCCCAGACAAAAAAAATATAAACGCATTACTGACAGTTTAAAAAAGAAAACATCTAAAGAATTAAAAGAACTATCAAAAGATTCGCTGATTGATTTAAAAGATACTTCCAACTTATTGGGAAACGAAAAGCCTACTAAACGGCGACTTAAATTATTATCAATGTGGTCAGGACCTAAAAAGCATAGAATGGCTTCCCTTAATGCCTTGGCCAAAGTACACTGCTTATATGAAAATGAAAGTCGGAGCCATGTAGAGTTAGGTTTAATGAGAACAGTTGAAAGACAGCCAATACCAGGAACTTCAAAAATCACAGTTCCCAAAAAGAAAGAAGTTAAATCAAAAGATTCTGATAAACAGGACAGTACATCTGGATCAGAATATGAAAATAAGAAAGAAAAGGATAGTTCTGATAGTTCTGATGACAGCCCACCACAGAGAACACTAAGGGGAGTACCAGGTATAAGAAGTGCGGGTAAATACTGGGATCCCAAGTCATCTACTTCTTCTAGTGAGGACAGTGAAATGGAGTCTAAATCTAAAAATATTGAACGTAAGAAAACTGCAATTAAAACTTCTGCACCAAAATCTGAGTCTGAGAAACCTTCGCCAAAAATGAAAAAGACAGCCGGCGTTCCTATTAAAAAGAAACGTAACAGAAACGAGGTCGTTATGGATTTAAAAGACATGGTAGTCCAAAAACGTATGGCCAGCTTAAATGCTACGGCGATTTTGGCAGCCAGCTACGAAAAGCGATCTCCAAAATCAAGTAAAGATGATAGTACTTCTGACTCATGCAGCGACGAATCATTTTCACAAAAGCCAAAAAACGTAATTGATTCCGGCGTGAAGTCGGAAATAAAAACTGAGGAGCCAAAAAAGGAAATTGAGGACTGTGTTCTTCCAGATATAAAACAGAAAGTCGAGGTTATCGTCAACCAAGACACTGATGTTACAATAACAGGGGTGTATGCAACACACCATCATGAAGGTTTCTGCACCGTTTCGGGCATGCAATATCGCATATCCTCTACAAGTCACACGCAGACCACCGCCACTGCTAATTGTGAAAAGGTGAGTGCAAACATTTTTCGTTATATTCAAAGACGGCCTTTATTTCAATAAAATTAGTACTGCGTTTTCTCTAAGATTATAATTTTACAATAATTGACATAATGTTGAATACATTTAATTTCGGTAGTAGTAGCTAAAGTACTAAATGAGTGATTTGTAAGAAAGGAGCACCCAGCTAAATCAATATTCTTTTGAGTTATTTAATCGGATTGCAATTATGTATGTGTATGATTATGTCATACAATGTAACGTAGAACTATTTCCAATGTGTATTAATATTAATACCTCATTAAAAGCAAACAAATAAAGTCTAACACTGAAGCGTAATAAAGATCGTAGGCGTTTTGGATCTCATTAATACACCGTAATGAAGTAAGTTCGACGTAAACATGCCTCGGGACTTTATCCGTTGTATCCTTCACTTTTTAATATCAATTTCAACCTTCGTCTTATTATGTTAAGATTCAATCTCATTTAACGTAAAAATAATGATTCTACAGGATATTACGCATGTCCTTGACAGTAATTGTTTTGTCTTACATGTTAAATATCCGTACTCTTCTTGTTATTCCTTTGTATGAGCAGAAAGTAATTTCACGGTGTTATTTGATTTTAACGCTTAATATATACTTACATAATATTATAATACACTTGAGCAGTGAGTTGCTCGTGGTATGGGTTGCTTGTATTAAGAGCTTTCATATCTCTGTGAATATTCTATGGAATGAGGATAGGTCGTGAATTTGGGAGATGAGAATATAAAACAAAAGACGCAAGGTGTAATGTTGCGACTGTGATTGGTTAAACGGACGTACCATGTCGCGAGTCACGTGTTTTGAACTAGAGATGCTATTAACCAACGACAATAGAACGGAAGGCTCTGTCATTTCTATTTACATTCGGTTGACTAATTTTGAATAAAATATAAAATAATTATAATGCTGCGATCTAATAATATATATATATATATATATATATATATATATACGATCTAATAATATATACCTTACGCTGAAATAATAGAACAATACAATAAAAAAGCTAAAACGATAAATGTCGCATTAACTTTTCCTACTGACTTAATATCTGTAGCACTAAACCCATACTTCAACTAATACAATTCAGTTTTATTTGAAATAGTACTGAATTGTAATTGTCTAGGGCTGTTTATATACGCTTGTAGGGACAAATTTATTGATGAATAAATATAAATGTATGCTCATATATTAACAGGAAGGATGTTCTCGGGAAGATGGTACTCGGTACACGCCATTGTCAGCCCTTTCCTCAATGCAGCCGCCGCCAACAGAGCACGCTCATCATACGCCACATCCAGGTAATATTGTTAAAGATACGTAAATTTCAGCCCCAAAACTACTGCTTTTAATTAATCATTTAATATTTTTCACCGTTCAAGCTGAATGTTTTTGAAGTTATACTTCTTTAGGCGCGTTATGAAAAATTTATGAGAGTGAAATTTTACAATGCGCGCACTGTGACACCAAATTAACAGAATGAGGTTGCCCACGGAAGATGCTACGGCATTGGACATAATTTAAAAACAACATTCGAACAATAATAGAATTTATGTTACACTTAATGTAAGAGAATAATAATAAATATTTATGTATTTAATTTTTCAAATGTAAACTGAACTTTATTGACTATAATGACTCCTTTTCCAGTCTTTGATTATTTATTTGTAATTAATTATTTGCATGCAATCAAAAACTATTTTTAATAATGCCAAAGAAGTATAACTTCTTACGCGCGTACATACACGCACCCTTTTTTTTGTATATGCATTCTTCAGCCGTCCGTGGACCGATATTAATGATTAAGACATCTTCGAAAGAAATTTTTGATCATGAAATCTACGAATTTAATTGTACGATACCAACATGCGAAATGTTGCCTCAGAAAATCTTCAAGCCCCGTGTAGGTAATTAACAATTAATACATTTAAATGTGCAATTATAAAAGGCCAGTTTAAAGAAACACTATTTTAACTTTTAGTGAAATTTAGATTTTTAAGAATTTTATATGAACATTGTTTTCATTATTGTATGTTATATGTATCACCAATAAAACTCACTGCGGCGGTATATTTGCCAAAGCTGTTAACAAAGATAAAACGGAGTAAATGAATGTAATGTAGAGTTAATACCAGTTCTCAGCTTTCACATCGTTTTGTTTGACAACGCCGAGATATCAAAATATTTATTTCTGTTCTCGCGATTCTTTATTTGCAATGAATGCTTTTACAATTTAATTTATTTAATCCTTTGTTGAAAAAATTCACCATCAACCCTTGTGACATTTTTCTTTTGTCTAAAACAGGCGATGGAAATTATTTATTAATAGTTGCCGATTCTAATGCACCGAGCTTAACATATTTATAAATAGTTTGGAAAATCCAAAAGTGCACGCCTAATAGCGGTCATTCACATTAAAAAAAAAATCATTCGTTTACATTTTTTTTATTTTTACTACTTACTTAATATAATAAAAAAAAAATAGTGGCGCCATAACTTTAAGGTGAGGAAAAAATATACTAAAATTCGTAATTTAGTTTCTTACAAATTATAATTAAACGACAGTACTTTGAACGCTAATATTAACTAGGAATCAGCCCAGGGTATAACTTTATATAATAAGAAAAAAAGTATTCTGGTACGATACATTTTTCGACCAATTTCTCTGCCACATACATGGATCCATAAACACAGACTGACGGACGTCCAAGAATGATTGATTTTAATGTTATTATTTACTATGTTAAACAAAATAATTGTTCATAAAAAATACCATATGTGCTTGATAGATTATTTAACTCGATTTTAGTGCACTCGTATTATCCTGTAAGTGTTATATTAGTGAGAAAAAAGTCATTCAAGTTTCGAAAGACTGAGTTTTTTGACATGTCGAGAGTAGAGCACTGCGAGGCGTGCAAAAAAGCGCTTCTATACATTACCAATATGATTATGAAAATGACTTGAAAATGCGAATTATAAAGATACTATAAACGTCCAGTCAAGTGCAAACTCAAGCTAATAAACGTAATTAAATTAGGATTAGAAAGGGAAATGGAATTAGGAAATGCCCTAATGTTATAAAACTTGAATATATCTCTTCGTGCTTGTGACAGTTTACATAAGGGTCTCTATCGCTAAACGGCTCACCCTCCCATAAGTGGTTAGTTGTACGTGTTGACACGCCGCTCATATTGGTTATAAAACTAAGTGGCCGATAGCTTGAGGCTTTTGTATGGCGGGTGTCCCCCAATGGGGTATAAGCCTGGTCAGTCAGTGACTTCCGAATTGCTATATTACCCTTGAACGCGTTAAATTTAGCGTATCAAAACTTATCGAAAATTACTACTCGTATATACTCGTGTATACTCGTGTCAACTTGAAATGTTGCATGCATTGCATTGAAATACGTATAAAACTATTATTTATTTTTGAATAAAAAAATATACTTTTTTATTTATCTTATAATGTAAATTATTATGATATTTCTTGACCTCGTATACGATAAAACGTAAACATGTTTTTCCCTATTTCTTAAAGGCTCTACAAAATATTAAAGATTTAAGTCAACCGCTTTGAATTTATAAAATGCTCAGAAGTTGTGAAATTATTGCACAAACTTCTTAAAGAAACCTTAATGAGACAAACTGTTTACGGAAAAAACAAACGCTTATAACTTGGAGTTGTATTGTGCACTTAGAGGTTAACGGTTCAAGGATTTATGTATATTTTATAAAATTTAATTACAAACAGCATAAAACTCAAACATAAATAGAATTTTGTATATCAATAAAAATCAGTTTTAGATCAAAAAGTTGGCCTAGTAACTTCAGCGTGTGACTCTCATCCCTGAGGTCGATAGACTTTCTGTATAAGTGCGCATTTAACATTCGCTCGAACGGTGAAGGAAAACATCGGGAGGATAGCGGCTTGCCTTAGGCTTGAAAAGTCGACGCCGTATCAGATACAGGCGGCCTATCACTTTGCCTATTATATTGACAAATTATCACGATACATAAATCTGAGGTCCATAACTAAAAAAGGTTGTAGAGCCACTGGCTTTTTTATGTTTAGATCAAGCGTTCGACCTCGCTAAGTAGAAAGAATTCCCACGAGAATGTAAGGCACCTTTTCGTGTATTGAACGCCTTTTAATAACGTTAATTGAGGGTAGTCCGGTATATCTAAGCAACCACAGCTACTTCTGCAAACTACTGCAAAGCTTAAACTTTTCTATATTTTTCAGTGCCGGAAATAGGCGGCCTCGCGCGACGTCCTGGCTGTTCGAGTGCCTTCTCAGCGCCGTCACCAGCTGCACATCATGACCCAGGTAAGATTAGGCTTCTCTCTATTATGTTACATGAGTTGCGTTGATGATCCCGACGTCCGAATAATCTTAAATAACCTACATTGTTGTTTGCTTATACTTAGGTAACGCTATTGTAAAATCATGTATTAAGATGGTGTTATTCTTTGAGTAAATTTAATAGCAAAACTATAAAATTAAAGCAAGCAATTTGATAATTTTAGTACGTGACTAGAATGGCAAATTAAAAAGATACGGCAAAGTTTAGAAAATCAAGTAATTTGTCAAAGGGAAAGGTAATTTTGAACAAAGGTCTAACAAACACCCTTATATAAGTCTATCCTAATTATCAAGGGTAGGGACAATATTATTTTTATACTTTTTTAAAGCAATTTGCCTCCTTTCAAACTCATAACTTCACAGTTAGCCCGCTGAATATATCGTCTTCTTCTATCATTACGTTTTTTTCTATTTATACCTTACTCCTTAAAAATTAATATAAGCTTTTACCAATTGCTATAGTTTAGTGACACACGGCAAAATGTAATAACTACTTTATAGGAAATTGGTAGAACATAAATTACTTACAACTTAATTTTGACGTAGTAAGCAGATTGTATAATTGAAATCGTCTAGCTTTGCGATGAAAATTCAGTTCAAAAGGTGAAATGCGAGGGTTGCTAATTAATTTAAAATATTTGACGAATCAAGCAAATTGTTTTAATTAGTGCGACTCATTTGCGATTCAAAATGTATCTTGGCATATGAAAGGAAAAATCTCACTCGCGTCCGTCTTTGTCATGTCTATCTAGCAGTACCTACCCACTTCGGCGTACAGGCATACGCTTATTTGGCCGATTGAGATACGATTTCAAACTCCTACTCTTGCGCTGTTCGCTGAAGGAGTCTGAGTTAATAATACTTCTGTTTCACCGTTCTCTCAGTCACTTCAAGATAGACTCCGAGTTCGGTTAGAATGAGAGAATCTTGAAACTGTGTGGTCTACCCTAGACTAGCTTCTGAGAATTTTAAAATTACTCAGCATGACAACCCTTCACGGTTTTCGTTTGAAACAACTCGCATTCGGTTGGCTAATTAATTCTTTTGCGCTGGAATAAACCACTTGTCTACAGAAAGCGTATTTTAAATTTTAAATCAATTCTCAACCATAGTGTGAAGTAATAAAAGAATAACATTATCTACGTTTAAGTGCGAAACTTGTTATGTTTTATGCCGGCCTTTATGCCGCCATTGCGGTAAATAATACCCGACATATATTTAGATTATTAGTTGTATTGGCTACGTGTCATTTTTTATAACATCTGTCAAGGACATTTTATCTATAAACTAAAGATGAGATTAAAACTAACCTATGAAGTTTTGTCTTTTGTTTTCATGATTTGATTTACCTAGTACGTAGAAAATGTATAGTACAAGATGTGACTACAATTAGTTTTTTAGGGCTAGTAAAATTTGGCCATTTTTTATTACAGAGGCAAACTATGGCTATACTTTTTGGTATGTCTGGGATGATCTAAAAAGTCGAGCAAGATCAGTGAAATCTGCTCCACAAAATATTAAAACCTAAAAAGAGTCATTGCAGAAGAGTGAGAAATGGGATCGTATTCCTCAAAACATTATTAAAAAAACATCGTGGAAAGCATGCCCAGAAGGATTCAAGCTGTGTTTTTAGCAATAGGAGGTTACACTCGCTATTACGTTTTTAGTAAACTAATTGCAACTTAATACAGACAAAACCATTTACGACGACATCGTTTAGAACTTTAGAACAACATACCGGTTATATTGACCAAAATCAAAGGTCCCGGCTGAATGAATTCTATTGTATTAGGTACTTAATATCGTCATCGGCTGTTACGACTATCGGTTTTTACGACCATATATGAATAGTGCCTTCGATGTCGTTATAACAGATTTTGACTGAATAATTAAAAAAAGTTAAAAAGAACTACTTTTTTTATGCTGACCATTTCTTATTGTATTGTCGTGTACATCAATAAAGAACACATCGAAAATTAAAAAAAAATCCAGAATTCACTTCACACGATTATAAGTATACAGTCTACGCCAGACTATTAAATTTCATTTAACATCAGTTGGAACATAAATATTCTTAGGTGACCGTTTTTTTGCGAAATAGTTAATATTATAGAGTTCTTCCAAGACTAGCGCAGGGAGCTAGTGATTAATAAAGAGATTGGAACAACAATTAATAAAAATGACAAATCAGCATATTATATGCATTTAGTACCGAAAAGCGATGCAGTAAATGTAATTATTTTTGACCTTTCCGCGTAATGGAGTGAATAAAAACGATTGAGGGCGACAGTTCAATTACACAACCATTTATATACGCCAGATAAATGAACCACTGTGCAATTAATATTTAATATTAATTCTGGACACCTTTATCGTGACTTTGATATACATGACATATTTATGATAAATTTATAATTAAATATAAAATATGCTTCCGCGGTACAGCTCGTCTATTCAAACCCAGTACAAATAAACATTAAACGGTATGTTTTTCTTTACTCGAAATCAAATTCAGGGTTACACGCAATTAATTGAATCTTCTTTGATGCGCGTAAACAAGAATGTTTTCGGATTGAAGTTAATAAACCTGACACTTTACTATAAAATTATCACAAGTATTTATTATATTAAAATCTAATATATAAAATTCTCGTGTCACAGTTTTCGTTGCCATACTCCTCCGAAACGGCTCGACCGATTCTAATGAAATTTTTTGTGCTTATCCGGTATCTATGAGAATCGGCCAACATCTATTTTTCATCCCCCTAAATGTTAGGGGTAGTACAACCCCTAAAATTTTTTTTTTTTAGCCAAAATTTTTAATTTCTATTTTTTTATGATACAGCATTAAAAAATACATACAACCCTAATTTTCAACCCTCTACGATCAACCCCTATTTTTTTATTATAAATGATATACATGGCAAAACGACGTTTGCGGGGTCAGCTAGTAATAATATATATGTGTATTTATTATAATTATTATATTCGGTATGTTTGTGCACGCAGTCCGAATGATCTATGAACAATATCATATTGGTTGGAAAAATTTATAACTTCTTCTATTTTTTGTTATGTGTGACCTTTTGGGGCGGCTTTTAATAAATAAATAAATTTCAATTGAATTACGATATCGCATGCTACTTGATTATCGCATATTTCTATGTTGTAAAACACTATTATAATTTGATACTAAAACGTGTTGCCCTGTAAATAGTCGTAAATAAAGCTGAATGTTGCCAAAACAAATTTTTACCTCGCATTCACAAATCGTACTACTGCTAACATGGAAATTTTGGCAAACTAATAGCTAGAACCCAACAGCGCTGCCTGCGATTTATTCATAACAGTAAATTGGGCACAACGTATCCGCAGGCTTTATAGGATAATTGAAAACTAGCCGTTAACTAAAACTGACGTAAAACGGATGATTCTTCCATTAGCATTTTTGTTAAGCTAGCTCGCTATTCATCACTAGTAAATTAATGCTATAACGGTTACATTTTATGTGGGAGGATTGGTTGGAGGTACTGTTACTCCATCCTATAATGGAAGTATTGTTAACCAATAATCGGCGTCCATGCGTCGGGTTGTCTCTCTCCCTAGAATATGGCGAGGGGGCCCATGGTTGACCATGCGTATAACGTGAACTTGTGGTGACTGGTCGAACTTGAATTCGTATATGCGGTGATGTTTGTTATCTCGATTATGTATTTGCGTGTTGTTCCAACGAGAATCTAAGTGTGTGCTCCTATTTCACCATGCCTACTGCTGATAGAGGACAATTCTTTGTTTTATTATTAACTATGAAATACTTAAGATGTGATGTGGTTGCAGCTCCTTACAAAAATTGTGTAAAACAAAAACTTGGCGATTAAAATATTGGCGGAGAGTTTATTGCCAGTTCTTCTCGTCCGTTCTACGCCCTTGATTTGAGAACTAGTAGTAAATGTAAAATTAGAAGCATTTAGCATTTAATATGTATTTTTTTATTGACGTTCGTAAGTGTACATTGTGTAACCTAAATGAATACATGATTTTGACTTTGACTTTGACCAATCCAACCACAGACTGGTCCGAAACCACCAGTGACTAAGGTCAAGAAGTTGTATATATTGTTACGAGCTAGGGGATCGGATAGAAACGCCGTAGATTTCTTCAAGGGTTTATTTTCAATTTAATCTACGAGGAATTTGTTAACACTAAAAACTGGAAATTACGCACAAAAATTCTCTAAATACACACACAAAATGGGAACGATGTTCGAGAACTCTCTAGGCGGGAGCGCTACTGAGTAGCGATCGCACAATTCTAGAACGTTACTCTTTCTCACATTGCTCCGTCCTTGTCGTACGGCGTTCTAGAGTGCTCGGTCTAGCTTCGAGAAGGTTCCGATCTTCCCTCTCTCTCGCGTATCATACCGTTCTTGTCCCACACCTAGGAAATTCGTTCTAGAATATTCCTTCATCAAAGGGGTATAACCAGGCCTGAAAACGGGTTTCCTGAAAATTGTACCACTCGACTACACTTGTTCTGAATCGGCCTGTAAAAATGTTTCAGCCTCCTAAAAGCCTCCTAAAAAAAACTAGGGTAACATTCTGAAAATGCGATTTTCTAATATGTGATTGACCCTCCCCTGAAACGGTCAGTAATCACATTTCAGCCTGCTGAAAAGTTCTCTAAGTAGTGGAAAAATCTAAAAACATTGCAGTCGACCCGTCTTCGTAAAAATATCCTTAGCGCACGGAAAAGTTTGCGGGTACGACGTCGTGGTACCTTAATTCTTTTGCTCCGATCGGTGGGATTTTCAACAACAATAATCATCATTAAATATTTCCAAGGAAAAGAGCATGAAGGATTAACAATTCGATGCGTAACGGTGTCGATTTATTCGGTTCAAAAAGCTTATCGCGTCACTTCAATAGCGATTTTAATGATTGACTCAACAAGTTAACAATTGGATTGCACTTACTAACAAAGAACTCTGTTGACGTCATCTAACGATGGA